TGTAGGCTATTGTATGAAAATAAAACACTGTAAAAATATTTTTCCAAGTTGTTGGCTAATAAAGATTATTGGAGTATTTGCTCTGTTCACAATAGCTTTGATTTCCGCATCGTGGATTTGCGTAAAAAATACAGTTATATATTAGTTATATTAGTCATATTTAAGCATTTATGATTATTATTGTATGATTCGTCATCTTTTTCATGTAGTGTAGCTGTATTGTCAAACTGTAGCCAACTTAACCCATATATATTTTAACCATATTTTAATACATTTCAGTATTATTATTTTGTTATTTTGTTAATAAAACTAAATATATGCATTTATTAATCAACATTTTATATATACATTTTTTATATATTTCATTATGCATGTTATCTGTTTACATATGTTTGTTTTATGAATATTGGTTAATTTTTACCCTGACAGAGAAATACAACACGGGGCAATACAACGTTAAAAGCTCTCCACACAAAAGGTCAGTAACTAACTATAATATGCTATATCTGTTCCATTATTTTTATTATGTAAAAAAAATAGTTTTATTACTAAAATGTTATTTGATACACTTTAAAAAACACTATCAACCAGAACTATTGCAGTTCCTGACACCTTAGGGACAGCAAACGCCATCAGCAGACACCATCATTCACACTACTGAAGAATATGATGATTATTGTAGTAACAGAAATGATTAGCTATCAGGCTTCAAGAATAAATTAATGTTGAAGTACACATACTTCTATATACATCTATAACTTTTACAGTTTAAAACATGGAAAGTCAAGACCCTGCTGTTGTTGAGGCAGTAAAAGCATCAGGCGAGTCCACCCTGGAAAAGGCCACAGCAAAAGCTAAAGAAACATTTGACCAGTTAATGAATGTCTCACTTAACATTGCTGTGACCGGAAAGACAGGATCTGGGAAATCCTCCTTTATAAATGCACTTAGAGGTCTAAATGATGAAGATGATGGAGCAGCACCTACTGGAGTCACAGAAACTACAATGGAGCCCACCATGTATGAGCATGCTGCAGTGCCAAATGTGAAAATCTGGGACCTGCCTGGAATAGGAAGTCCAAACTTCCTATTCCAGATGAATGAAGAAAGCAGATGGGTGTGTGAATACATGAGGAAAGAAAAAAGCCCAACCTTTTCTTTACAGGTTTATTTTTGGACCTTTTATCAGCTTTATGAAGCATTTGCACTTTATGAAGGGTTTTATACGGTAATTTTGTAAGGTGTGACTAAGCTGCTTAGTTGGGTGTGAAAGTAATAGATTAGTCCAGTTCTTATTACTGATTTTTGTGTGTGTGTGTGTGTGTGTGTGTGTGTGTTGTTACCCATAACAACAAGACACATATAGGCGTTGACCTGGAAAGTACACATAAAGAGCAAACTACTAACAAATTAACATAGTTTCACTGAAATTATTTCTATGATTTTCAGGTCCACTAAAATATCTAAATATTATGTTATAGAACAACTTACCTACAGTCCATTACAAATTTTTATGGTTTGCACAACAAGAGTGGAAGCATGGTGTATTTTTCATAAACATTTTAATAAACAAGAAATAGTCCTAACTTAGAAAACTGCAGTTATTACAATTAATACAAACATATATTACAACAGTATATTGAGATCAACAGTTCACATATTTTTACTGCAGACCAAATTCTACAAATAATTGTCTGTTTCCCAACTGTGTATCTTCTATTCTTTTGCAATAATTAGGACAAAGCAATCTTAGCAAAACGTGGTGCCTCTCTAGCATTTTCTTCATATATTTCAAAGAGATCTGTCACAGAAAGAAAAATACAGAATTATACAGCATATTAAACAATTAAAGATTTGTTAATTCTATTAATATATTATATTGCACACCAGTTGAAAACAGCAGTTATACTATAATAAGCTTGAATAATTCATGGTAAATTAAACAGAAATCAAGTCATTTTAAAACAGTTTAATGCTGTATCATAACTTACATTTCTATGTTTTTTTATATATACGTTTCTTTACTGTTCTTGCTATATAATATGCAAAAGCACTTGTCCTGACAGTGTTGAGGTCACTGGAGAGTGCACTTTCCAAACCTACAAAGTCAAATGCACATCTGTCAAGACTGTTGATGAGAAACATCTGCTGTTCAGACAGTTTTGCCGTCTGAAGCTCCTGGGTATATTGTGCCCGAAGCCCATCAAGTATCTCAGTCTCATCACAGCACAAGTCACTTTGAGTCTGTAGATGACAGTCAATTTTGGTCTGGACCAAGAGGTAATGCTTCCTTAATTTTTCAACCTCTTTGGCTAGTTTTAAATGCCGTGCTTTCTGCCAGTCTGATACAATGATGATATAGAAGTCATAACAATTCAGGTGTTGTTTCATTTCATACATCGAGTAATCCATGACTGCCTCTATGCCGGATATGTCCCAGAACCGGACATCTGGGTATCTCAGACTCATTGCTGGGTTGCTGATGGATGCTGAAGCCGCACCACACTCTTCATTCTTCAGCCCAATTAAGGCATTTACCAAAGTGGACGCTCCAGAGCCTGTCTCGCCCAAAACGGCCACATCTAGCTGAAAGTGACTCAAAGCCTCCAGAACAGCACTGACTTTCACAGCTCCAAAGCCTGTGCGCTTATACATAACCTGCAATGCTGTGATGTCCTCTGTTTCAAGTTTCCCAGTCTGTTGGATGTGATTCGTAGCATACCTAAAGTAATACAAAAATAAAATTACATTAATGTTAGTATGAATGATATTTGAAATATTCATTGTTTGCCCTCTTTATTATTACTATTTTATTCAGAAATACATTCAGTATATCAGTCATACATGCAATGAACTCATCTATGATGACAATGTTCTTAATTTCTGAATTAAAATTAATTGTGATTTTTGATTTGGGGTATTACATAAAAAATGTTAGGGTGATAAAATGTGTAAAAGTATTTGAAAAACTTTTATCTGCCAAATCAAAATGATATGGTCCAACCATGCTGAAACAGAACAGGAAATTATATTATAGGGAGGACCCCAGCAGACCCTTGTGACAATATGTCAAGGTCAGTAAGTCAATAAAATATCAAAATAGTTACTTTTTTTTTTGTATATTATAGGACTACATTTTACAGGAAAATACTATACTATCCTACTTCAAACTTTCACATCATTTAATGTTTTCCTAAAAATTGTATAAAAGTTTTTAAGCACCGTATGAAACCAACATAGTCACAGTACCATTTACAACCATGTAATTACAGTATATCTACTCACCTTGCCTTTATCCATCCTCCATGTAACATCTTGTCCAGAAAATCTGAAAACACCTCTGCTTTAAGTTGAGAAACCTCAACCTTAAAAGTGTCCATGAGCTTCTGCATCTCATACTTTTCTGTGTCATGGGATGACACTAGGAACACATGGGGGTCCAGTTTCTTCTCCTTCAGATATTTCTCACAGTCTTGTCTCATTTGATCCAATGCACGTATTTGAGAGAATTTGCTTTTCTTTCTACGCACATCATTATCAATTTTTGTTCTAATGAAATAAAATGGCTTCTTTCGTTGCTCAATTTCATCAATCAACAGCATGTTGTTTTCTCTGACTCTCTCTGATATCACAACCATGAACATGTCATATAGGTCAAAGTTCATTGTCTTTACATAACTCTTGGATGCAAAGGAAGGGGTGCCCATCCCTGGAAGATCCCACAGTCTGATGTGTGGGAGATTTGGATGCTGATACATGGTTGCTTGCTGTGTGGTTTCCACAGCTCCAGTTGGAGCAGCCCCTGTGTCATCAGGATTCAATCCGAGGATTGCATTGATAAGAGAAGACTTTCCTGCACCAGACTCTCCAGTCACAGCTTTCATTTCATACATCGAGTAATCCATGACTGCCTCTATGCCGGATATGTCCCAGAACCGGACATCTGGGTATCTCAGACTCATTGCTGGGTTGCTGATGGATGCTGAAGCCGCACCACACTCTTCATTCTTCAGCCCAATTAAGGCATTTACCAAAGTGGACGCTCCAGAGCCTGTCTCGCCCAAAACGGCCACATCTAGCTGAAAGTGACTCAAAGCCTCCAGAACAGCACTGACTTTCACAGCTCCAAAGCCTGTGCGCTTATACATAACCTGCAATGCTGTGATGTCCTCTGTTTCAAGTTTCCCAGTCTGTTGGATGTGATTCGTAGCATACCTAAAGTAATACAAAAATAAAATTACATTAATGTTAGTATGAATGATATTTGAAATATTCATTGTTTGCCCTCTTTATTATTACTATTTTATTCAGAAATACATTCAGTATATCAGTCATACATGCAATGAACTCATCTATGATGACAATGTTCTTAATTTCTGAATTAAAATTAATTGTGATTTTTGATTTGGGGTATTACATAAAAAATGTTAGGGTGATAAAATGTGTAAAAGTATTTGAAAAACTTTTATCTGCCAAATCAAAATGATATGGTCCAACCATGCTGAAACAGAACAGGAAATTATATTATAGGGAGGACCCCAGCAGACCCTTGTGACAATATGTCAAGGTCAGTAAGTCAATAAAATATCAAAATAGTTACTTTTTTTTTTGTATATTATAGGACTACATTTTACAGGAAAATACTATACTATCCTACTTCAAACTTTCACATCATTTAATGTTTTCCTAAAAATTGTATAAAAGTTTTTAAGCACCGTATGAAACCAACATAGTCACAGTACCATTTACAACCATGTAATTACAGTATATCTACTCACCTTGCCTTTATCCATCCTCCATGTAACATCTTGTCCAGAAAATCTGAAAACACCTCTGCTTTAAGTTGAGAAACCTCAACCTTAAAAGTGTCCATGAGCTTCTGCATCTCATACTTTTCTGTGTCATGGGATGACACTAGGAACACATGGGGGTCCAGTTTCTTCTCCTTCAGATATTTCTCACAGTCTTGTCTCATTTGATCCAATGCACGTATTTGAGAGAATTTGCTTTTCTTTCTACGCACATCATTATCAATTTTTGTTCTAATGAAATAAAATGGCTTCTTTCGTTGCTCAATTTCATCAATCAACAGCATGTTGTTTTCTCTGACTCTCTCTGATATCACAACCATGAACATGTCATATAGGTCAAAGTTCATTGTCTTTACATAACTCTTGGATGCAAAGGAAGGGGTGCCCATCCCTGGAAGATCCCACAGTCTGATGTGTGGGAGATTTGGATGCTGATACATGGTTGCTTGCTGTGTGGTTTCCACAGCTCCAGTTGGAGCAGCCCCTGTGTCATCAGGATTCAATCCGAGGATTGCATTGATAAGAGAAGACTTTCCTGCACCAGACTCTCCAGTCACAGCGATATCTATCTTAAAATGGTCAAAAGCCTTCAAAAGAGACATAAGCCGGTGGGGAATTTCTTCAGGGCTTTCAGAGGCAAACACATCCTTGATTTTGTTGAAATGATCCTCTTGTATTTTTGCTGGCATGTACAATCTATAGAAAAATATAACATTCTGTCAATACTTTATGCTGTAACATTTTTAAAGAACATTATTCCATCATCCCACATTTGAACACTTTTTAAGACGTCGTGTCAAGTTATAAGACGTTTAAGCACAAAACGCGTTCATTTGTAAACGGCCCAAGTTAATTATCTTGAAATGAGCGCAACTTTACTGAATTTTGATAGGAACTGTGCACTTGTCAACTAGACGGTCTTATAAGTGAAACGTAAGAAAAAACCATCGCATACATAAATATTTAAAAGCTGACGAAGGTAGACAAATAAATCCACTCACCCATTGTCCATGGCGCTGCCGTTTATGTTGGTTTCTATTTCCACGAAATCCAAGGAAATCGAAAGTAACCTATGCGATGTGCGCAAAACACATTAACAAAATTAAAGCACTGTCATAATCAGGCTTTGTTTACAGATTGCTTTTAAAAACTGCCAACCTTACGAACACGACCCCGTTTCTTCACGCCAAATAACAAACGTAAACACCTGCGATTTCATATAAAGTAACAGCAGGAGGGAGGAGGGAATGACGTTCTGAAAGCTAATTTGAAGACGTGTATGGGCCAGTCTACAGAACTGGTACAAAGTAAGAGTTGGAAACGTCCAAAAAAAAATGGATGCATGCAAATTGTATAATATCCAAGGTATTTTGTATTTTTTTTTTTTGTATTTATAATATTTATATTATATTTTCAGAAAGTTTTGGAATATTTGTCCTCTCCCCAAACTTGTTATGTTAGGCTACAATAAAACAAAGTGTGATAATACTATATTATATTTTAAAATAAAAAGGGAGTATTAAATACAAATGCGATTAATTTATAGTAAACTTAAAAATAAAATGATAATATTTAGCCTACTTCTTTTTTAAAATACGAATTTTCATCATTTTCAAACTTAAAGGGGTCCTATAATGCTCTTTTACAAAGTCTTGATTTTGTTTTGGGGGTGTACTAGAACAGGCTCTCATACTAGGTTGTTCGAAAAACACATTAATTTTCACATATTTTACCTTATTACAACACCTCTCTCCCCAGTCTGGCATGAACGGCTCGAATAGTTCCTGTATCAAATGAAGGCCCGCCTTCTGAAATACGAAATGTGCTGTGATTGGTTAGCTGGGCCAGTGTGTGTTGTGATTGGCAGCACTCGGGCGCATGGTTGGGAAATGTCAATGTCATGCCCCTTACCACAGCCGCCTGCGAGCATCAGTGTAAATATTGCATCAAAATCAAATCAATTTGAGCGATTTAAACCCGGATGATTGTAACCACTTTAAGTTCGTCTTCCTTGGGAAAGCTAGCATGTCTCCGACATAGTGATATAACACCCGTTGCCTTCTCTAGTGCAGCTCAAGCAGGTCTCGTTCCATTCGTCGGTATTTGAAAATATGCGTTGTAGTCCAAACGAGTAGTTCGTTGTAGTTTTTGAAAAGTGATTTCTGTTAAATAAAATATCTCCTTTTGAAGTGGACTTTGAACTTTGTAACTTTGTAGATATTTTTTATGCTCAAACAGCAACATTACAGACTAACTAACGTTGAAAAAGTGAAAAAGCATAATAGGACCCCTTTAAAATTAGAGAGCTTTTATTTGGGCGGCTTGCCGGCAAGTAAGTAAATGCGCTTCCGGGTTTAGCGCTGCTGATTGAATAGCGTCAGTGAATGAAGTCACAGTTTTGCATTGTGCTTTGAAAACAGCAGCGGGTAGATTTATGCGTTCAATTTGTCCATCTAAAATGGTAATTGTGCATTAACAAGCTGTCAACCATGTCGGTACGCAAATGCGCGGTCTGAACTTATTTACACAGTGCATTTTTTATTTTGGTCGCGCATGCGGACCTGCGGACCACTTATGTGCACCCCTGGTTATAATTCTCATTTACAGCCAGCCTTGGAAAAACATTGCTTTATTGGACAGATCTCTGAAAGTGAAAGACTTTCTAGGCAGTAAAAAGAATAAATATCAATAAATGTTTGTTTACATTATTTTACTAAATATGAAACTGAATTGGCAAACTATGTTGCTGTTATGTACTGTAGTGTGAAACTTTGGGGTTTTGGTGTGAACTGAAAATATTTCCACACGTTCACACTTTCATCTTATTTAGAAAAAGTTAAACAACCTATATCTTGTGATATAAAAGAAAAAAGCTGTTTGTTTTATTTAAACATTTTTTATTCATTGTGGTCTGTCAAAACACAGTGCTTGTTCTCTAAAAATTTAGTAGGCGTGAGGTAGAATTTAAAATGTATTAAAAAGGTGTGAGCAGTAAGATGCTTGTTTTCTCCTGTCAATGCAAAAGGTCATTGGAGCTAATATTCCTACATGCATGTATGTTCTGAATCTGGTGACTATTGAGTCCTTTGAATCATTTTGGTTGTCCAGTGTTGCAGATATCAAAAGATTGCTTTGTCTTGCCAGTATACTTTACAGTCTGAAGTCTGAGGTGATTTTCCTTGTCAGGATGAAGTTTTTCCTTCCATCTCTCCATGAATGTGATTTCCTGAAGGAGACGCTGAATCCGCCACACCTCTGCCGTGCTCTTCTTCTTCATTGCCCCTTCTTTTCTCTTTCCTCTTCCTTTTTACATTTTCTGAAGGCCCTTCCCAGGACACCCCACCTTCACAGACAGGAAATTATGTTTCATCAGATGTGTCATTTCAAATCCTGCCACCAGATGTCAGTACAACAGCAGAAGAAGTCATGTTTGGTTGTCTCAAGTGTTCAACAGAACGTGTCACAAGTATTCTAAAGATAATTATTGAAAGAAATATCACAGTTATGATAAGCATACAAGAGGTGAATGAAAGTGAATTATGATACCCACTGTTTCTGACATATGGCAAAGAGGAGGGACGGAAGTCTTCCAAAAGTTCCTCACTTCTGAATCCAATTAAGACGCAGTAAAAGGATAACAGAAACAGACATTATTTTGCAAACTTATTATTTTAATTTAATAACTTATTAATGCATCAAACATTTGACTATAACTACAGTAACTCCAAAATGTATTTGGACACTTAAGGCATTCTTAAAATGTGAGAAATGTAACTGCATTAGATGAAAACTATCAAACAAAGTGGCATCTGAAAGCAACTAGCATGGTAGCTAACTTTTCTGAACCATTTATGCAATGAATTTTAACCACTTAATGTCAAGGTTATTTTTAGTGGATGCATGACGTCAGTTACCATCAAGATCACACAGGTGTCCTAGCAGAGGCTCTAATGCAAATGTATTCATGCATTATTGCCAAATACTCATAAGGAGAATCTTACCCATGTGTACTATGTTGTAAAAAATAATGCTTACTCAGAACATTTTTTACCTATCTGAGGAAGTTTGTCTTAGCATGTTTTCTGACCAGGAACCATGTTTGACTTTCTGCGGAGAGAGAATGATAACTGATTCTCATGATTACAGTTACACTAAATTTACTTACTAACTACTGTGGACTATGCACTTAACAAAAGTAACATTATTCATTTCATAATTAGGTTACCAACCACAACGTGATTTAAAAACAACACAGATAAATAGACAGGCAGACAGACGAATCATGACTGGCTGACCTGTGTGCCTATGCTCAAGGATCTGGAGGGCGGTTTGGGAGATGGACACGGGGAAAGTGACTGTCTTTTGGGAGGAAGGGGAGGAAGTAATAGACTGGAACGGGGAACTTGATACTCCTCCTGTGATATCTGAAATAGTGAGAGAGGAATGAAATTAAACAACCATTAAAGTCAGAGTGAACCGAAGAATTGCACAGACTCAAACCTACAATTACATTCACATTTATTGCATATTATAAGCAGACGTTTTTCATAGCAAAGCAACTTGCTGTATGATGACAATACAAAAAAGCTAGAGAATACAAAAAAAGCTAGTTTCAGTTTTTAAAAAAAACAGCAGACAATATTGCAGACAATTATGCTTAATAAATCAAGAAAGTCACAAATTGCGATTATGAATACAATACAATTTATCATACAGTCCTAACAATTGGTCAATAGTAAAATTCTGTTTAAATGAATAAAACAAAATAGAACTTTGTTTAAATGAATACATGAATAAAAAAATAAAATGTTATCTTAGCATTTTGCTACAGGTGAATTTAGGCATCACAACATTTACATTAACAGTATGAAAAATGGATATTCATTTTGAGATTTTAACTGTTGTGTTTTTATAGATGGACTTTAAGTGAGCTTTAGATGGCAACAAAGGTAATCTAAATGTTAAAACTGGAAATGAGCATTCACAATTAAATATCTATAAACAAATGTATAAATCTCTAATATTGGCTGATATTGAACAGATTATGCAATCACCTATAATCTAGCCATTACACTGCTGAATCATTTTATAAATTGGATAACTGTTTGTTGGTTTAATGTAAATGTATTTTGTTTGAAAGGACAGTGTGAGGTCTAGAGGTCTTGGCATTTTGTGTAAATGTGGTTGATTATATAAAAATACAAGCAATGGAAATTAATATTTGAGAACTCTAAACACACAAAAGTAAACATATAAGAGTAAAATCTAATTAAATAGATTAAATAGGAAAAAAAGTGCATTTCAGATTGCCAAGCAAAGAATTCCTGATTCCCTTATTACATACTCTCACCTTTTTCATACAAGCCAGTTTTTTCATCACCAGCTCCACATCCTCATGATCTTCCTCCTCATCTTCATCTTCCTCCTCTTCCTCCTCTTCCTCCTCCCCCCCTGCCCTCCTGTCTCTCTCTGGCAGGTAGGGCTCAATGAGGATGGATTCTGTGCCTCTGATGTCACAGCGGCAGTAGGGGCACGTGTGCCCGTCTGACTTCTGCACATCAGAGGGAGTGACACAACGTTCAACACGCAAATTCACATACTTATTTAATGCTCCCAAGGGCATCCTTCTCCTGCACATCACACCACAAGAAAGACTTGCTTATCTCTTGACATCTTATGAGAGATGCACTTGTCTTTGAATGTGTTACATTGTAAGATGTAGAGCTGCAGAAATGCATCACGTCCTCTCATTCTCTATAGGGTAAATGTTATCTTAGCATGCAATGAAGTGTGACTTAAGAGAAGTGGAAAATCAGTCACACTGCACACATATGCTTGATCAAACACAGGCAGGAAGCTTGAGCCAAAATGTCAGGTCATGTTGCATGACACTGTGGCAAACACTATATTTCATGCGGAACTGCTGTCTGAATGACTTTGCTTTACGCAAGCATTTAATTATCAGTTTATGTTAGTGATTTATTTCCAGTAAAATAATTGTATTCTAATGAGTTCGATTTATGATGTTTATGCACCAACAACAGAAAACACAATCATGTAGCCTAATCATGTATAGCTGTTTTGAATGTGGGTTTTTGGGTGTAACTTGACCATGATTGATTGTGAGTGTGAATGCAAGTGTGAATGGAGGTAGAGGTCTGAGCACAATAAGAAAATGATATACCTGCCAGCCAGTCAAGCAGGGCTGACACAGCAGATGCCCGCAGGGCTGAATGCGAGTGTCTTTGTCTCGTTCTGTGCAGATTTTGCAGAGCTGAAATGTGCTGCCAATCTCACAGTATAATTCATACTGCTCCTGAAGAGAGAAATACAACACATAAAGGAGAGAGAGGAAAAAAGTGCATCTTGCATTAGAGACAAAAAAATGCTCAAAAAAGAGTATATTTCAAACTCTAATTTATCAGCTTTTAAGACACACATGCAAAAAAGAGGAACACATATAGGATAGTGTAATGTGTACATGAACAATGAAAAATATATAGGCAATAATTGAATGTAGTATAATACAACAGTAATTATTATTATCATTTACATTTTCTTGTAACATGATCCCCCCCAAAAAAATCTGAGCATTGTAGTGTTATTTTAGTATCATTGAAATACTATTATAGTTTTTATTAATATTTTGAATCCGTTCTTATTTTTTTTATTTTACTTAATTTTAGTATTTTGTTGTGTTTTTGGCATTTTAGTAATTTTTGTTTATATATATATATATGTATAAATAGGTTTTAGCCATTTTTATTTCTGTTTTAGTCTGAGTTATTTTAATACATCAAGTAATTAATTAACAAAATTAAATTAGATTAAAATAAATGAGCTGAAATAAAATGTTTTTATATCAGTTAACATTTATTTTATTTGAAGAAAAGACAATATTTTTTATATTGAGGTATATATTGTATATATTACCTCTGTGACTTTGACTCGACCCTTGTGAGTCGGACTGCACAGGCTGGTGAGGTCAGGGTTCACATCACGCCCATCAGGATATAAATAGCTGTAGATGTAAGCATCCAGATTATGTTAACATTATGACGTCAGATTAAATTTCAGCGTGCTTTTTTTTCGATTAGATTGTGAACTCACCAGCCCTCCTTGAAACCTTGTATGAGTGCTTGGTAAAGAGGTGTATTTCGGGGAATGGTTTGCACAATGTTGCCATCACTGGTCACATGACCAATCGCCCACTGACCCATTTGTGTGCAACTGAGACGAAAGATGTAGCTGTGGAGAGAGCCAGTAAGAGTTCAGACCTAAACCACTGTAATTCTAAGGTTAAACCTAGATGAGCAATCTGTAATGTTTTGGGTTTATTAACTTATTTAGCTCATTTGGGCTCTGCCATTGTCTTACCTGCCAGGACGATGTCTGTAGTGCTCTAGTCGGACCCTGACCTGGTCGTAGGTGAGAAACGCCATGTATCCTGGGTGAGTTACTGCTAAATGATTCCAGTTTCTTAACAAAGTTGACCAGGGCTAAAGGAACCAAATGCAAAAAAACTCAAATAAAAAGTAAGGAAGGGAATGAAAGGACCAGGAGGTAATGTTCTATTGCTGGCACTTTCCATGAATAGAGTAGAAGGCCTGAAACTTTAACATTTATAATATATAAATGTTCACATGATCTACTTTTCATGCTAGATTTATTTTATAGTTTATCAAACATATCTAATAAGTCATGGAATGTTTCTGCTGTTTTTAACAAAAGTTCTCCTCAAGCTTAGGATACCTGAAAAAGCCTGGTGAAAATATCAAACTCAAAGATGGATATGTGATCGTTACAAGTGAGATCAACTGTGGACTTCAAAGCCATGGCCTCCATTCCCTCTTCAAAGTAATGAACCCTCCTCAGCTGCTGTTTAAAAATGTTCCACTGCACTATACATCTGAGAGAGAGATAGAGAGAGAGAGAGAGAGAGAGATAGAGAGAGATAGAGAGAGATTGACTGTCCAAAAATGGATGCGTAGGGTTTGAATCTTCAATACATATTAAAGTAAATTATTTTTTGAAAATGGATGCGTAGGGTTTGAATCTTCAATACATATTAAAGTAAATAATTTTTTGTCATACTTGTGTCCAAAGGCTTTCCTCCAGAAGTCTTTGGCCTCTGTCTTTGTAATTCTATAAGTATCACCCTGAAATCGTCCCCCAGGAAACAAAGTTTGTAGTTCATTCAACATGTGGCTGAACAGCAGTGACAGCTTAGTAAGATTTCTCCTGAAAAAGAAAGCAAATGTAATATTTTTTACATTAAAAAAAAAAAACATATTTTGTGTGTGTTACACAAATATTACACAGGCAAATATTACATAGTAAAACACATTTGTCTGTATAAAGTGGTTAGAAATACTAGGTGTACAGAAGAGCTGTGGTGCTTTTTTGTTTTGTGCACGTATGATAATTGTTTTTTGATGCGTTATAAAATCGTGTGAACAAGTTGCACAAACATACACCCAAAAAGAAACAAAAGACTGGCATAAGCACAATGCACTCTAACTTCTAGAAACAGGAAGTAGTACTTTGATGCATCCTGTCCTGGGTGTCTGTGGTTGGGCTGACAGAATTTTCCATTACTAATTGATCAAAGAGGTTGCCATGGTAGCATCAGCATCCTCTACGCAGCACGGCACAGATCAGCACCTCTCATCTGCTATACTCTTGTCAATAAATGTACAATCTGAATTAACATAATTAACTCCGATTGCAGATTTAATCTTTATATTAAATCTAAATACAGAGAAAATAAATATATTGCATTTATTTAAAAAAAGCACACAACAGTACAGTTGTAATATGCATCGTTTTTAAAAATGGTGTAGTAAGTGATGTTTCAACTTTTCATTGTAATACAATGTGTATTTTTTGATGTTGTAAATATGGTTATTGGAGTATTTTCTACAAGAAAATACGATTTCAGTCTTTCTTCTTAAACATTTAATGCTTAATTCAATATGTTACTTGATCTTTCTCAGTAATTATTTGTGAAATTTACTACTAATTTTTGAGAGAAAACTGTTTTAACGGCAATATTTTTTTTTTTAGTGTATTAACATTTTAGTCAGTAATAAATCTTATAATTCACATTCCTTGAGTCTGTTTCTGTTTGGCTGTGGATAATGTGGCTTTAGTGTGTTGAGATGCATATGCAGAAACTCTCTAACTTGGGTGCTAAACTGACCAAACATGGCTTGTATGCAACAGATTTTTCCACTCAGACAATATGATCGCTTTGTTTCTACTTTTATCTCTAGTAGCTTAGCCACAAAGCCCTCATTTTGTCTTACCTTTTATCTGAGCAGCTAACAGAAAGTACAGCGCTTCTGAGGCCTGAAGTTTCCTTTAGTCGTGTTCTTAAATTTTCCACCACATACTGTCCTGTCCACTAACCGTGTTGACATGGTTTTATCGCCGCCCAGCAGTCATAAAGCAGGTGAAATGAGCTACATTTACCCACATATACTGTATTAGGCTTGTGTGGTCATTTCGTTCTCTCTTATAGTGAATAAATTAAATCAGTTATAATAGGCTATTTCATAGGAATGGGGTGTGACCCACTGTATTTATCAAATATATTAAACATGGTGTTCAGATTATGTATGTATTTTGTCAGCATATCTAACGTGTATGTAAAGTATGCATACATGCACACATAGTGGTACTGCTTGTATTCTTTCTAGACTTTTCTCAACACTAAAAGTCCAGTTGTGACATGCTGTGTGAAATATTAAATACATTGGCGCTCAAATGGAAAGTAAAGGGAAAAAAAGTTGTGACTTGTTGGTCTTGCTATTCAGCTTCAAACAGAAGAGAAGGTAAACAACTTGCAGACATTGCAAACAAGCCCGTTATTTACTGTTACTTGGAGATAAATGAGGAGCAAACCAAATATTATCTATTGGGTCTCAGGGATTTTATGTTATTCTCTAATTTGATGTATTATTTGAGGAGCATATTTCATTCTCTCTTTTTGCCATGCATAATTTAAAATAATAAGATTAATAATAAAGTTATGTTTTGTGATCAGGAAGTTAACAGAACGGCCACTGCTGTGCCGAAACATAACATTAAACTGCTGGCCTCCATTGCCAGAGGAAAGTTTCCCCCATTTCCATGATAATGCCACACTATACACACTGGTCATTAGTAGTCACAGCAGACCAGAAACTTGGTCAAGCCTCACAACAAAGTCTAAATAGGGACTGCTATCTTAGGTTTCTTAAGATTGAAATTAAGGTGTTTTATTGCAGTCAAGTTGTTGTTAAGGTTTACTATAGGAACTTTTTTACCAGGATCGTTTTTCCCTCGCAAAACTGATTCGCATCTTTATACGTGTGTAGACACGTCAGTACTTATATTTACATTCTTTTGACAGACATTTTTGCTAAGCATTGTAATTCTATTTATAGGTACATGTAGTGTTCAAATGTTTAATCAGTGTTGCCATTTCATTTGATGACCAAATTTAAATTCTTTTTCTACCACTACTTAAATAGTTTTAATACTTAATGTATTTCTTAATGTACTATAATGTAGTCTTTTTTTATTATTATTAGATTAGACCGTTACAAAAACCATAGAACCATTTTTAGTGAAGTGGTGATAAGTCTTGAATTAAAGTAGTATTGACATTTCCAGATTCTTCAAAGTTACCAAAAAAGTGATTGCATTTCTGTCCGAGCTATATGGTAAATTTTCGGTAAACAAACATTGTAGGTCTGCTCTATTCAAGAAACCTGTTAACCAATTAAATTTATACTTTATCTCTCACACACACACACAAGCGGTTTACCTTTTTATATCTATCTATTAAGTTAAGGTTCTGACATGTGTCTAAATCATCTAAAAAATCACTTTGTTGACACTATTAAAGTGTAGTTGATGCAGATATCCACTTTTATGCATGTAACCGCTAATGATCGGTTGAGTTTATGGATAGCGTCATTTTTAGCAGAGCTAGAATGAATGAAAAGATGAAAATCTCTCTACACACACACACACACACACACACACACACACATACAAATACATACTAATTTATAATGTAATATATGATTACACTTTATTTTGATAATCCACAGATAATCCTATAATCCAAGTCAACTAACTCTCATTAATTTACAACTACATGTCAAATAACCCTCTTTAGAGAATTGGTAGACTATTAGGTTAGGGTTAGAGTTGGGTTGATATGTAATTACATATATGTTACTTATAGTTAGTAAAATGTCTGTTGGTGGAGCATTAAAGAGAAGTGTTACCATATATACACTTCTAATAAAAATGTATGTGTGTGTGTGTGTGTGTGTGTGTGT